TAGTAGAGACGGGGTTTCACCATGTTGACCAGGATGGTCTCGATCTCCTGACCTCGTGATCCACCCGCCTCGGCCTCCCAAAGTGCTGGGATTACAGGCTTGAGCCACCGCGCCCGGCGAGATGGGGTTTTACCATGTTGGCCAGGATGGCCTCTACCTCCTGACCTCGTGATCCACTGGCCTTGGCCTCCCAAAGTGTTGGGATTACAGGCATGAGCTACCGTGCCCGGCCTTATTTATTTATTTTTGAGACAGAGCCTCCCTCTGTCGCCCAGGCTGGAGTGCAGTGGTGCAATCTCGGCTCCCTGCAACCTCTGCCTCCTGAGTTCAAGCAATTCTCGTGCCTCAGCCTCTTGAGTAGCTGGGTCTACAGGTGTGCACCACCACATCTGGCTAATTTTTGTATTTTTAGTAGAGACAGGGTTTCACCATGTTGGCTAGGCTGGTCTCGAACTCCTGACCTCATGTGATCCACGTGCCCTGGCCTCCCGAAGTGTTGGGATTACAGGCGTGTGCCACCGTGCTGGGCCTGGATGCTTTAATGACCTTCCTTTCTGTCACACAAAAGCCTTTGAATTAGGCTTATTGGGTCCATTTTACTGAGGAGTAAGATGACTTGCTCAACCTCAGGCTCTTTATTTTTGTTGTTTTAATGTTAACGGGAACCACTCAGAATTCGTTCTCTCACTCTCCCTCTTCCGAAGGAAGAGAATGGTCCTCAATGGGGAATGTCAGTTGCAGCAAAGCAACTCCAGGAGCTGGCTTCTTGTTCTGGAGAGTGCCCCATGTCTCCTCTGCCTCTGCCTGGTTTCCTGTGCTTTACACGTCCAGAGAAGCTTCTGTAGCGATGAACCATAGAAACGGTGCCTCCAATTGTCATCTTCAATTTCATGCTCTGAATTGAAAGTATAATCTGTGGTCGGGCACGGTGGCCCACGCCCGTAATCCTCGCACTTTGGGAGGCAGAGTCAGGCACATGGCTGGAGCCCAGGAGTTTGAGACCAGCTTGGGAAACATGGCGAAACCCTGCCTCTACTAAAAACACAAAAATGAGCCGGGTGTGGTGGTGCACAATTGTAGTTCCAGCTCTTCGGGAGGCTGAGATGGGAGGATCAGTTTGACCCGGCAGGTCGAGGCTGCAGTGAGCCCAGATTGCACCACTAGACTCCAGCCTGGGAGTCAGAGGGAGACCCTGCCTCAGAAAGTGTAATCTTCAAACTCAAGCTCTTCGTGGGGGATGGGGCTGAAATCTGAGTCCGGTTCTGGCCGATACCAGTGCGACGCCCACACACTTGCTGGTGTCCTGTTTCCATGGAGAACTCTTCACTTTGGAAGCATCCCTGACGTCTTCAACAAAAGCCCAGAGCCGGGGCCCTTCGGGGGCTGTCCCTTGTGGATCTTGATTTCTGAGTACTCGGTGGTGCTGGGGGCCTCCTGGTGCGCAGGCTCCCGAGGCCTCAGCCCTTGGAAGCTGAGGGAGGCGTAGTGGAGCTCCTGCTCCTCCCCGGGGTTGGGGGTGGCTGCACCTGGGGGCGGGTAGTCTTGGGAGCTGCCTGCTGGGCATTTGTGCTGGTGACCCTGAATGCAGCGGAGAAAGGGGTCAAATTAGGACCATGGGGGCTGAGAGAGAGCAAGGAGGACGCACGAGAGGACCTGGAAGCTAAGCGTTTCCTCTTTCACTTACTCCACAAACACTGGCTGGGCCCTCATTCATTCACTCATTCAGCAAATATTTGAGAACAAAAATGCCCGGCTCTTGGAAATTCACCACCAGACTCAAAAACCTCACCACAATCACTGGGGAGACACTATTATCCCCATGATCAGATGGAAAGATGGAGGCTGAGTAAATACCCCAAACCCACACATCTAATCAGTGGTCAGGCCAGGATTCCCGTCCAGGTCTCCCTGAGTCCAGCACCTGCTGCCTTAGGGAACAGCTCCCCTGTGCCAGCCCCTGGATATTCCTGGGAGAACTAGGCAGACACCATGCCTGACCTCAGGCAGCTTGCATTGTGGAAGGAGAAGCAGACATTAAAGCTACAGTCGGCCGGGCGTGGTTGCTCACACCTGTAATCCAAGCACTTTGGACGCCAAGGCGGGCGGATCACCTGAGGTCAGGAGTTCAAGACCAGCCTGACCAACATGGTGAAATCCATCTTAAAAAAAAAAAAAAAAAGCTATAGTCAATCAAGTTACTATCTAATTGCAAATTGTGAATGGATGCCCAGGAAGGAGGAAGTGTGAGAAAGACAGGGATTTGCTGGGACCTGGACTGACCCAAGGGGCCTCTGAGGATCTACTCAGACACAGCTGTGAAATTGAGCTAGGAGCCCAGGAAACAAAGGTCATTGTAGGTAAAGGATTCACCTGCCCAGAGAAAGGTTTGGCCCTTTGTGCCAGGTACGGGGAGGGAACCTCTAACTTAGGGCCTTGCAGCATCCTGCTGGTAGGGGCATCCCTGTTCACCCAGGACCGCAGGCCATGCCAGTAGTCTATGCCAGCACTGGGACTTACAGCGGGGCCTACGTGGCGTCAGTTTGGCTCTGCAGGGGCTGAAGAACTGAGGTCATCGGCAGGTGCCCTGTGCCTGCGTGACCCACCCTCAGCGAACCCGGGACCCAGCCTCAGGGGAGCTTCCCGGGTGGGCAGTGCGCCAACGCTCCAAGCTTCTGTCACACCCCCTTGCCAGGAGAATTGGGTGCTGTTCCCGCAGCTCCAGTGGGAAAGGACACCCAGAAGCTGCGGATTTGGTCTCTCCTGGACCTGCCCCGTGCGCCTCTCCCCATCCCTGATTTTCATCTGTTATCGGTCACTGTATAAACTGTCACCACCAGGATCTCAGCTCTCAGTGAGTCCTAGGAGGCTATCCAACCTCGGAGTGCTCATGAGGACCCCACAACCACAGCTGCTGTCAGAAGTGAGGACGGGGACCCCAAGATTTGTAGTAGACAATAGTTATTTGGGGAAAGGTCTCTCTGGCATCCTGTGTTGAGAAGGAGAGATAGGAGGGAGGACAAAGGAGTCAGGGGTCCAGGGGGAAAGGAGGAGCAGGAGGTGGAGGGTCCATTGGAGCTGAGCACAGGTAGGGCGTGGACAGGACTGGGGGGGCCCTTGGCTCTGGGAGGGTATGTGGCAGCAGTGGGGAGAGCCCCTCGCGGATCATGGGCTGCATTGATGGGGACCCAGGAGCAAAACCTTATTCGGGGCACGATGATTCTGCGAGTCATCAAGAGGCGTGGCCGTGGCCGTCCAGGAAAGGGGAAAGGCCAAGGCCCCAGAGGACAGAGGCTGGGCTCTCAACCGGGAGATGGGCCCCACGGCAGAGGGCGCATCTTGCTCAGCGGCTGCCATCTGGGCGGCTTCCTTCCTGCAGGTCTTCACCCTGAGGGAGAAGGCAGGGCCCTTCAGCCTCCAGGCTGGCCCAGGGCCCGGGGCGACTGCTGCCCCACAGCTTAGTGGAGACTGGAAGGCTGTGGGGCCGGTGGGGTGGGGACAGGTCCACCAGGGGACTTCTTTTTTATTTTGAGATGATGTCTTGCTCTATCGCCCAGGCTGGAGTGCAGTGGCTCGATCTCTGCTCACTGCAACTTCCCATGGGATGACTTCCACAGTGAGATCTGGGGACCCTCACAGGTGGCCTGGATCACCGTTCCAGAGCAGACTTCTGCTCTGATCCTCTCACCCAAGGTGCAGTTCTTACACCCACTGCCCCGCCCAGATTCCTGCAGCGGGGACTATCTGGGATTCTAGAACCCTCTCCCTTCCCACGCCCTACACTGTCAGCCCTCCTCAAGATGACACTCACCTGAAGACGACGAGGCAGAAACAGAGAGAGAGCAGGACAGCAACGCCAGCTCCCAGAGCGGCCCCCAGACCAAGTCCTCCCCTCCACTCCTGATTCCCTGCAGAGGAGAGGGGATTGGGATGATGCCCTCCCAGCCCTGAGACCCTCCTGCCCCTCCTCCCACAGACTTAGAGCTCTGGGATTCTCCACCCCCACCTGCCACAGAGCAGGGACTGTGTTCCCATCCCTTCCTGCCATGCCCAGCCCCTCTCCCGACAACTTCATCTCTCTAGGATCCTGTCTCTTTCTCCCTGAGCCTCGGCCCCCCACAGCCCTCTCACCTTGTGGCAGCTTGAGGACAGAGCTGCTTTGGGCCCCGTGGACATTCCAGGCCTCACAGCTGAGCCTGAGGTGGGAGCCGAGTACCCCTCGGAGGCTCAGGGAGCTGTTGGCCCAGGGCCCGGCTGAGCTGGGGGTGACCTCGAAGGAGTCCCGGCTGCTGTTCCCCTCCAGGAGCTCCTCTCCAAGCCACCAGCGCAGAGAGGGGGCCGGGCTGGCCTGGGAGGAGCAGCTGCAGTGCAGACTCTCAGCCTCCCAGGAGCAGGAGGGGCCCAGTAGCTGAGGGGAGTCTGTGGGGAGGGAGGACAGGACTCAGCAGGGACCCCTTCCTGGGACCCAGGTGCCCCCTTTCCCCACTCACAGTGCACGGAGAGGCTGAGAGAGACATGCTGGGAGCCCAGTGGGTGCTGAGCGTGGCAGGTGAACTCTCCTTCATGCTCCATTTGAACCTGAGGCAGCTCCAGGACCGCGGGATCTGAGGGTGGGGAGGGGCTCAGGGTCTGTCCCCCCCGGGTCCAGCTCAGCCTGGCTGGGGGACTGCTGTGGGTGACACAGGCCAGGCGCAGGCTTTGGCCCTCCAGGACCGGGAGGGATGTGCCGTTCCCAAGGTTTTCCAGGACTAGAGAAGGAGGAGGCAGAATCAATGTGCAGCTTGGGGCACAGGGACCCTCCTGCGTGGGGACCCTCCAGATGCCTGGGCCCCCAGTTTAGCACCGAGAGGCCTGGCTCCTCTGTCCCCTTTCCTACCTGTCCTGTTTGCTTGGGAAACCATCACTCTCAGGTCCTCTGGAGGATCTGAAATGGAGAAGGGACCGGCTCTAGATTGGCCAGGGGCTTCCCTCTGGGCAAAGGGAGCTGTCCTGGGAGACTGAGGTGGGGGAAGTGGGGGGATAGAAGGGCACAGCAGAATCACCCACTGAGTCCCAGACACAAACTGCACGAGTCTACACAGGTAAGAAGGTGGGTCCCCTAGGCCTGGGGTTCCAGGTCCCCTCAGCTCTGGAGCCCTGACTCTGCTTGTCTCAGTCCTTTCTTTGAACCAGTAGCCATAAGCTGGGGTAGACTCTTGTCTAGTCCTTTTGGGAGTAGGAGAAAGAGCAGGACACAGAGACACACAGGCCCTCGGGCACCATCACTGACCTCTGCACTTGGATCCAGCCCCTGTGTCCCCACCTGTCCTCCCCTCCCAGATGGACTCCGGGCCCCTGATGGGTACTCACACTGCACAGAGAGGTCCAGGGCTCGCTGCTGGGAGCCAAGCCTGTTCTCTGCTCGGCAGGTGTAGTGGCCTGAATCCCCGGCCTTCACCCGGGGAAGCTCCAGCCCCAGGGTTCTGGGGCCCCAGGGGTGGGACCAGGAGAGGACTCTGTCCTGTAGCACCCAGCTCAGCATGGCGGGGGGCTGGCTGTCGGCAGCACAGAGGAGCCTCAGGAACTGGCCTTTCTGGGCTTCCAGATGTGTGAGATTTTCCTGGAGCTTCAGAGCTAGAGAGAGACAGAGAGAGAGAGAGAGAAACAGAGAAGGGCTAAGGAAGGAGCACATCCCCTCACCTCCATGAAAATGTTTCACTCCTAATAAGAGGACTGGCCTAGCCCCAGCCCGATGGCCCTTGGTACCTGGCGTGTTGTCACGGGAAATGCTGATAACAACGTCTCTGGGGGCGTCTGCAACAAGATGGTGAGCTGGCTTCACCAATTGGTTCCTCACACCAGGAAAAAAGTTCCTCAGGGAAAATAAAGTGGGACCATCCCGGGAAGACAAGTGACAGCCAGTGCCAGGGCTCACGCGTGTGGACAGAGGACCAGACGCCATTCCCATCCCCTCCCAGGGGGGACAATTGGTTCCTCACACCAGGAAAAAAGTTCCTCAGGGAAAATAAAGTGGGACCATCCCGGGAAGACAAGTGACAGCCAGTGCCAGGGCTCACGCGTGTGGACAGAGGACCAGACGCCATTCCCATCCCCTCCCAGGGCTGTGCTGGCTTCCCGGGACCCCATGGCTTCCTCTCCCTGGACCCTCATGAGCTGGGAGCCGCTCACTGCCCTGCTGGGCTCCACCTCCCCACCCCCCGGGGGTCTGTCTGCAGGCCCCACAGTCCCAGGCCACACTCACAGGCCACGCGGAGTCGGACGGTCCTCTGTGTGCTCACACCCGTTCTAGAGAAGTCCACGTGGCAGGTGAGGTTGGTGTCGTGGTCCTGGGGTCTGGGCGTGAAGCTGAGCACTGAGAAGTGGGGGCTGCTTGGTCTGGTTCTTTTAGAAGAGAGGGCAGCACCCGTCCAGGAGAAAGAAGGGGCTGGACACTTCTTGAAAGCCCAGTTAAACACACAGATGACTGTCACTGGCCGCCCAGGCTCCAGGGTCTCGGGGATGTAGACATCAGGCTTCTGAGTCAGGGCTGGGACAGAGACAGGGTGGGGGGTGCTAGTGCTGCAGGGGTCCCCGAGATCCCTCTCTGCTCAGCCCATGCCCAGGGTCCTTCCCCAGTGTGAGAGGCAGGAGTTCCCACCCCATTCCATACCTGTTACTTTTAGATGGAGCCCGTTAAAGTTGAATTTCACATAGCTTCCCCTCTCCACCCGAAAGTAGTACACTCCCGTGTCCTGCATCTGTGCGTCTCTGACCACCAAGGAGCAGCTCCCCTTGCCGGGGTCCCCCGTGAGCTGGAATCGGTCCCGCATGCTCACGTCCACCTCTTGATTTGGGTTGTTTGTGGCCACAAGAGCACGGGTATATGTGTTGGTCATTATTTTGAACCAGTAGCCATGAGCGGCAGTAGACTCATTCCAGCCAACCCGGGGGTAGGAGAGGTTGCAAGGCATGAAGACACACAGGCCCTCCTGCACCGTCACCAGCCTCTGCACTTGAAGACTGTAACTTGAGCCCTGGTTCAGGAACCCTGGGGAGATGCAGAGGCTCAGCGGCAGCCCCAGCCCTTGCAAGGGAACCCCAGCTGCCGACCCCACTCACCCTCCCCCAGCATGGGCAGCAACAGGGACAGCAGCAGCATCTCTGGACTCTGGGGCTGGGCCTGTCCTGGGACCATCTGGCTCCTGGGCTGGCCTGGCTGGGAAGGAAACTCCTCTGGAAGGAAGCCTGGTGGAGGGGCAGTGACCACTGGCAGAGGAGGAGCCTGGGGAACCGCAAGGCCCTGAAAGATCCCCTCCCAACTTCTCCTTTCTCAGGGAAAGCAGCAGGGCAGAGGGCATAAGGACCTGCCCCAAACCAGGGAGGAGCCACCCTGGGCAGCCTTGGGGGTGGGCAATGCTAGCAGGGGACTGTCAGGGGACACAGGTGAGTTATGGCTGCAGGTGAGGTGATGAATGCAGAGTCCCATTCATTCATTCATTCTCCAGGGGGCCATGGGACACTGGAAGAGTCTGTGAGGATGCTGATTTATGGTAGGGGCTTTGTACCATGTATTATTGCTGTGCCTCCACAGAGGGTAAAAACTAGGTCAGCCATACAGGCAATTGGTCACATCCATGTGACCAACCCCCAGTAAAAACTCCGAACAGCAAGGCTCTGGCAAGCTTGCCTGGGTGGCAATACTTGGTGTATGCTGTCACTCATCCTTGCTGCAGGCATTAAGCATTTTCTGTACGACTTCACTGGGAAAGGTCACCTGGAACCCCATACATGGTCTCTTCTGGATCCTGCCCTATGAACCTTTTTCTTTTGTTGATTTTTATTTATTTATTTGAGACAGTCTCACTCTGTCACCCGGGCTGGAGTGCAGTGGCGCAATGTCAGCTAACTGCGCCTGGCCATCTCCAGTTTTATTTCTAATTGACTTCATTTGAATCTTTTTTTCTTGGTTAATCTAGCGAATGGTCTATCAATTTTGTTTCTAATTTCCAAGAACCAGCTTTCTGTTTCATTGATTTCTGTATTTTTTGTTTCAGTTTCATTTAGTTCTGCTGTGATCTTTGTTACCTCTCTTCTTTGCTAGCTTTGGGTTTAGTTTGTTCTTGTTTCTCTAGTTCCTTGAGATGTGACATTAGGTTGTCAATTCGTGATCTTTCAGGCTTTTTTTGTTGTTGTTGTTGTTGTTGTTGAGACAGAGTCTTGTTCTGTTACCCAGGCTGGAGTGTAGTGCTGCGATCTTGGCTCACTGCAACCTCTGCTTCCTGGGTTCAAGCAATTCTCCTGCCTTACCCTCCCAAGTAGCTGGGATTACAGGCGCCTGACACCATGCCGGGCTAACCTTTGTATTTTTAGTAGAGACGGGGTATCGCCATGTTGGCCAGGCTGGTCTCGAACTCCTGACCTCAGGTGATTCCCCCTCCTCGGCCTCCCAAAGTGCTGAGATTACAGGTGTGAGCCACTGTGCCTGGTGTTAGACATTTTGATACAGGCACTGAGTGCTATAAAGTTTCCTGTCAGCACTGCTTTTGCTGTATTCCAGAGGTTTTGATAACTTGTATCACTATTACAGTTTATTTCAAAGAATTTTTAAATTTCCATCTCGATTTCATTGTTAACCCCCAAATCATTCAGGAGCAGACTGTTTAATTTCCATGATTTGTATAGTTTTGAGGGTCCCTTTTGTAGTTGATTTCTAGTTTTATTCCACTGTGGTCTGAGAAGATGCTTGTTATGATTTTGATTTTTAATTTGTTGAGGCTTGTTTGGTGGCCTGTCAGATGGTATCTTGGAGACTGTTCCATGTGCTGATGAGGAGAATGTATTTTCTGCAGTTCTTGGAAAGAATTTTCTGTAAATATCTGTAATCTGTTCCATTTGTTCTAGAGTGTAGTTCATTTTTTTTTTTTTTTTGAGACAAATTCTTGCTCTGTCACATAGGCTGGAGTGCAGTGGCATGATCTGGGCTCACTGCAATCTCTACCTCCTGGGTTCAAGTGATTCTCCTGTCTCAGCCTCCTGAGTAGCTGGGATTACAGGGGTGCACCACCACGCTCAGCTAATTTTTGTATTTCTAATAGAAATAGGGTTTCATCATGTTTGCTAGGCTAATCTTGAACTCCTGACCTCAAGTGATCCACCTGCCTCGGCCTCCCAAAGTGCTGGGATTACAGGTGTGAGTCACCACAGCTGGCCAAGGATGTAATTTTAAGTTTTTTTTGAGACAGTGTCTTGCGTCTTGCTCTTTCGTCCAGGCTGGAGTGCAGTGGCACGATCTTGGCTCACTGCAATCTCTGCCTCCTGGGTAGCTGGGATTATAGATGTATACCACTAGGTCTGGCTAATTTTTTTCTATTTTTAGTGGAGATGGGGTTTTGCCATGTTGGCCAGGCTGGTCTCGAACTCCTGCCCTCAAGTTATCTGCCCACCTTGGCCTCCCAAAGTGCTGGGATTACAGGCGTGAGCCACTGCGCTTGGCCTGATTTTAATGTTCATAGTTTACTGGAGCCTAATCCAGCTCTTGGTGCTTTCAGGGGTGAAGATTCCGTATGAGTTCCTTGGTTAGGGAGGGTCTGTGTGTGCTGCCTTTCTCAGCTGCCAGTTGTAGCAGCAGTGTGCTCAGTGTATGAGCAAGTTCACTGTCTCCTGTGGGGTTGGAATGGAAGAGGTATTTTTAAGCTTACCTCATTCCACTGTGGTGTGCACTTTTTAATTATTTTATCTTTTTCCCCAGTATTTTATTCACTAGGTTGAATAGTTAAGGCTTCAGGTCAGTAGGGGAGGGTCCCTGGGTAGAAAAGAGCTGTGGCTGAAGCAGTGGGTAAAGGCAGTACCCACTGGCAAGCCGAGGCCCCAGCCTTGACACAGGTGACCTGGGGAGCTCTTAGTGACATGCACTGCAGTTTGTTTTTGACAGGATTTCAATCTATCTCCCAGGCTGGATGGAGCACAGGGGTGTGATCACAGATCGCCGTGGCCTTGACTTCCCTGGCTCAAGTGCTCCTCTTGTTTCAGTCTCCCAAGTAGCTGGGATCACTGGCACATGCCACTGCGCCTGGGTAATTTTTGTTTTCTGTAGAGTTGGGGCCCCCCTTTGTTGCTCAGGCTAGTCTCCAACTCCTGGCCTCAAGTAATTCTCCAATCTTGGCCTCTCAGAATGCTGAGATGACAGCCACAAGCCACCACGCCTGGCCATTTCCTTCCTTGTACTAATTTTGCCTTTTCTCCTTCCTTGTTCCTTGGGGTGCATTGCTTTTTGTTTGTTTTGAGACACAGTCTCGCTCTGTTGCCCAGGCTAGAGTGCAGTGGCACGGTTTTGGTGCACTGCAACCTCTGCCTCCCAGGTTCAAGCGATTCTCCTACCTCAGCCTCCTGAGTAGCTGGGATTATAGGCTTGTGCCACCATGCCTGGCTAATTTTTGTATTTTTAGTAGAGATGGGGTTTCACCATGTTGGCCAGGCTGGTCTCAAACCCCTGACCTCAGGTGATCTGCCCACCTTGGGCTCCCACCTCAGGTGGTCCGCCTGCCCGCTAGAATTATAGGGGTGAGCCAGCATGCCCCTCCAGGGGTGCATTCTTATACTGTATATTTGAATTCTATTTTTTTGAAGTAGGCATTTGTTGTTATAAACTTCACTCCTGGCACAGCTTTTGCTGTATCTCACAGGTTTTGGTAGGTTGTATTTCCATCTTCATTTCTATAAAAAACATTTTTTTTTAGACGGAGTCTCACTCTGTCGCCCAGGCTGGAGTGCAGTGACGTGGTCTCAGCTCACTGCAACCTCCACCTTCCAGGCTCAAGCGATTCTCCTGCCTCAGCCTCCCAAGTAGCTGGGACTACAGGTATGCACCACCATGCCCGGCTTTTTTTTTTTTTTTTTTAGTAGAGATGGGTTTTACCATGTTGGCCAGACTAGTGTCCAACGCCTGATCTCAGGTGATCTGCCCGTCTTACCTCCCAAAATGCCGGGGTTACAGGCGTGAGCCACCACTCCTGGCCTCAAGAAACATCTTGATATTCCTCTTAATTTCTTCCTTGACCCAGAGGTCACTCAGGGGCATGTTGTTTAATTTCCACATATTTGTACATCTTCTGAAGTTCCTCTTATTAATCACTTCTAGTTCCATTTCCATTGTGGTCTGAGAAGATGTTTAATAGGATTTCAATTTCTATAAATGTCAGATTTCATTTGAAGCCTAACATATGGTGTATTCTGGAGAATGTTTCATGTGCCAAAGGGAAGACTGCGTTCCTCAACTGTTGGACAGGGTGTCCTGCAAACATCTCTCAGGTCCCTTTAGTCTAAAATGCAGTCGAAATCCAAAGTTTTGGCCGGGCATGGCGGCTCACGCCTGTAATCCCAGCATTTTGGGAAGCCAAGGCAGGTGGATCACCTGAGGTCAGGAGTTCAAGACCAGCCTGGCCAACATGGTGAGACCCCCATCTCTACTAAAAATACAAAAATTAGCTGGACATAGTGGTGCACGCCTGTAATCCCAGCTACTGGGAGGCTGAGGCAGGAGGATTGCTTGAACCGGGGAGGCAGAGGTTGCAGTGAGCCGAGATTGTGCCACTGCCCTCCAGCCTTGGCGACAGAGTGAGATGTCTCAAAAAAATAAAAAAAGTCCAAAGTTTCTTTGTGAATCTTCTGTCTAGACGACGTGTCTAATGCTGAGAGTGTGGGATCCACGTCTCCAGCTATGACTGTATTGGAGTCTGTCTCTGCCTTTACGTGTGCTCTAGTGCAACGTGCATATCGATTCAGTTCCATGAAGTTCTATCTTCTTGCTGAATTGATCCTTTCATCATTACACAATCACCTTTTTGTCTCTTTTCAGTGTTTTTGACTGAAAGTCTATTTTGTCTGGCCTAAGTACAGCTACCTCTGCCTGCTCTCTTGGTTTCTGTTTGCATGGAACATATTTTTCAATCCCTTTCAGTGTATATGTCTTTATAGGTGAGTGACTTTCTTATAGGTAGCATACAGTTGGGTTATAATTTTGTAAATCCATTTAGAAAAACATCAAATTACATCCATAAATGTATACAATTATTATTTGCTAATTAGAAATACAAAATGTGGTAAAATACACATAACATAAACGTACGACTTTAACACCCCCCTTTTGTTTTGTGATGGAGTACCACTCTGTTGCTCAGGCTGGAGTGCAGTGGTGTGATCTTAGCTCACTGCAACCTCCGCCTCCTGGACTTAATCAATTCTCATGTCTCAGCCTCCCAAGTACCTGGGACTACAAGTGAGCAACACCACGCCTGGCTAATTTTTGCATTGTGAGTAGCGAT